TATATATACGAATGAAATGCATTGCTACGCAACGCACATGGCGTGTCACATGATGCACAACGCAAGTTCATTGAATAAAGAAATACATTGCACCATTCATTATTCTTTTATTTTTTTACTTCTCATGATCGAATGTAGAAATTTTTTTATTGTATTCTTGTTATATATATATATATAATTCCTTTTTTTTTACTTGCACTGATATACATATTTACTTATCATTTATTTATAATATAGAGAATTAGAATATAGTTATATAAAATATTAAGAAAACATTGAAAATTTATTGAAAATGATGAATGTAAATAGGTAATGTTTTACATAATACAAAAGCTTATGAAATTTGTTCATTTAAAATTTATTTCTAGAAGAAATACGTCGTTACGATAATATATATGTATATATATATATATATTATTTAGAAGCCAAAAATATTCTCCGTAACGGGAATAGTTCCGATCGATTCCAAATACGTATCGATTTTTCGACCATATAGTTCATGTAAAGAATGACAAGACAGCGCACACTAAACAGAGCCGATCGTTGTCTCGAATATACTTTTTTATTATACATACATTAATGAAAATATATACATGGTAGACTGTAGCTTGTCGAAGCAGCGAAATGTCAATCAGCTACGGTATTCGTATATGAATATGAACTTGTATATGTAACTTTTATTATTTTATTTTATTTTTTTCCCCCGATTTATATTTGCGACGTTTTTTTACTTTACTTGAAAGCAAAGATCGTCGTGACATTAATAGGATATTATGCGTAGATCATTAAACGAGTCAATCAGTGAAAGAAGCCAAATTGTTTAACTCCACTTTCTGACAATTTTTTTATTTTTCATATCAGAATGATTATCACGTGATTATTTTCTAAAAATCAAATAATTATCATCGGTGGAGGTAATTATTTTGGATTCTATGTGACTCTATGTTAAGTCCTTGCCTTTAAAATTTCAATTTTTCAATTTTGTAAATCGAATAGATCTCGATCGTGATCGAGAGTTTTTCTTTTTTATTTTTGACAAAATATTGTTCCGAATCGGAAATAATATTCACGATCAAGTGGAATAAATTTGAAAAACATAATTTGAATATAGAATTTATAATATTTGATAATTTCGCTGGCTTCGATTAACATCTGAACTCTTTATCTCTCTCGTTCATACCTCTCTTTCTCTCATTCTTTCTCTCGAATCTCACGTTTTCTCTCTATCGTTCTTTCTCTGTCTCTTTCCTATTCTACAGCACAGCCAAACACTTGCTCGATCACTCGGCTTTAAAAGCTTCGTTTTATCTCCTGCTCAACTTCCTCTTCCTGTTCAATTTTTTTTCTTTTCACATTACTGCTTTCAATTGTTGTTATGATACGATCTCTTTTTACGGCGACATATTGTGTGTTATTATACCAATAGACTACGACACCGCGATCGATTTCCATTTTTCTTTTACAATTTATTTTGCTTCTCTTTTTCAAATCTTCAATTCGTCATTACGTTAATTCTTCGTTTCAATAGCAAAAGAATTCTTCCATTCTTGAAAATTGGTCACGATTTCCTAACGCCCGATCAACGGGATTTCCGACAGGCTCTTGCGTCTATATTTCGACGTAACGGGACTCGATTCTATTATTCGACATACAATTTGTTGTACTAACAATTACGCCGATATACGAAGCTATGGATCATAATAATCGATCATCAAATTAAATTGCGATCATAGATTCATGTCACGAATTTTGATCATCGATCATCGACGAATTTATGAAAAATAACATTTTTACAAGCGATTATCAAAATTAGGAAACTATATTTTGATAGTTTTATTCTTGTCAATTCTCATTCCTATTTTTTTTTCTTTTTTATTGCCACGAACGATTTTGAACGAGTTCCAAAGAATATTGAGAATCGTGTAACAGCGATGGACGTGTGTCTATTTTTTTTTTTTTCCCTATCGATTGAACCGAACTATTTGAACAATTTCGATTCGCATTAAATGCTGTCTAGTGGATTAAAAGCTATGAATAACTTAACAGTCTCATCGGGTGAGTTTCAACTTAAAATAAAATATCATAAAAATGCATCGAAATTCATGTATGATATAAAAGAACATAAAAATATTTTTAACATTTCGGGAAAAAATCCCGCTATTAAATTTTTGACAGTATCCAGAAATTTCCCATTTTTTAATTCAATTTGAAATCGCTTCGACATCGATTAAAATCGTAAATTCTTTTTTTTCTTGATTTATAATTAACAGAATATCGAATGTCCATCGCTAAATATCTCTAATTATACGTAGATGCACGACTGTCGGTCGCTCAACAAGTTTCGTTTCAATCAAAGAGAGAGAAGAAAAGAGAGAGAGAGAGAGAGAGAGAGAGAGAGAGAGAGAGAGAGAAGAGAAGAGAGAGAGAA